CATGGTGGCATGCACCTGTAGTCCCAGCTACTCAGGTGGCTGAGGCAGGAGAATTGCTTGAATCCAGGAGGCAAAGGTTGAAGTGAGCTGAGATCATGCCACTGCATTCCAATCTGGCACCCAGCAACAGACTGAGACTCTGTCTCAAAAAAAAATTATTTGTTGGATGAATGAGTGTCTACTCTGGCATTTTTACCCTGGATTTTTAAAGTCAGCAGCTGCTGTATCTCTTCTTGCTCAGCCTCTTCCCTAAACCGTTTGATGGATTTCCAAAATGCAAGCAATGCTTAATATCAAGCATTTGGAATTAATGACTTCCTCCCATCATTTAATCGTGGCCCAATAGCTCTAGAAGAAAGGCTCAAGGCCTATCCTACAATGCCTTGCTGACAAGAGCTTCATCTTGGTGGTTTTTGTGTTTTGGAGTAGGGGTGGAGGTCTTATTATCTAGCATGCCCAGTGTGCAGTTTTTCTAGAAATTTGAAACAAAATTTTATCTTTTGTACTTCAGAAAATATTGTGCAAACATTTTAATTAATTGACATCTAAAATCTACTGTTGCCACAGCTACAGTTGTGTGCCACATGACATTTTGGTCAATGCTGAACCACATCTATGCATGACATTTTAATGGAGCTGAAAAATTCCTAACACCTAGTGATATCTTGGGTGTCATAATGCCATAGTGCTATGTATAACTCGCGTGTTTGTGGCGATGCTGGTGTTAACACATCTATTGCAGTGTAAATCATATAAAAGTCTGGCACATAAAATTATGTATCATATGTAGTACTTGATGATAAATGATTATAGGTTTATGTAGTAACATACTAAATTGAAATTTTGAGACAAGGTCTCACTCTGGCTGGAGTGCAGCGGCACCATCACAGCTCACTGCAGCCTTGACGTCCTAGGCTCTAGGGATCCTTCCACCTCAGCCTCCAGAGTAGCTGAGACCACAGGTGTGTACCACCATGCCTGGCTAATTAAAGAAAATTTTTTTGTAGAGATGAAGTCTTCCTATGTTGCTCAGGCTGGTCTTGAACTCCTGGGCTCAAGCGATCCTCCGATTTCAGCCTTCCAAAATGTTGAAATTATAGGCATGAGCCACAACACTCAGCTTGTACTATACTTTTTTGTTTTTTGAGACAGGATATTGCTCCATAGCCCTGGCTAGAGTGCAGTGGTACAATCTTGGCTCACTGCAACCTCCACCTCCTGTGTTCCAGTAATCCCCCTACCTCATCCTCCCAGGTAGCAGGGACTACAGGTGTGTGTCACCATGCTTGGCTATTTTTACTTTTTGTAGAGACAGGGTCTTGCCATGTTCCCCAGGCTGGTCTCATGCATTCTACCAGCCTCAGCCTCCCAAAGTGCTGGGATTACAGGCATGAGCCACTGTGCCGGACCTTGTACTATACTTTTTATTTTCTTTTAGCGAGTATTCCTTCCACCTGTAAAACAAAGTTAACTGTAATACAGCCTCGTGCAGGTCCTTCAAGAGGTATTCCAGAAGAAGGCATTGTTATTATAGGAGATGACAGCTCCATGTATGTTATTTTGCACCCTGAGGCCCTTTAGTTTGACAAGATATGAAGGTACAAAATGGTGATATTGATGATCCTAACCTGGTGTAGGCCTAGGCTAATGTGTGTTTCTTAGTCCATAAAAAAAAAGTTTAGAAAACAAAAAAAAGAAAAAAACAATAGCCGGGACAATGGCTCATGCTTGTAATTCTAGCATTTTGGGAGGCAAAGGCGGTAAGATCTCTTGAGGCCAGGAGTTTGAGGCTGCAGTGAGCTATGATCATGCCACTGCCCTCCAGCCGCAGTGGCAGAGCAAGACCCCGTCTCAAAAAAAAAAAAAAGCTTACAGAGTAAGAGCATAAAGAAAATATTTTTGTATAGCTGTACAATATGTCTGTATTATAAGTATCAGAGTCAAAAAGTTAAAAAATTAGAAGTTTATAGTTACAGCAAGCTAATATATTACTGAAAAAAGAAACATTTTACAAATAAATTTAGCGTAGCTTAGGTGTGCAGTGTAGTCTATAGTAGTACACAGTAACACCTTAGACTTCACAGTCACACACCGGTCACTCATTGATTCACCCAGAGTATTTTCCACTCCTGAAAGCTCCATTCATAAGCACTCTATAAAGGTGTGCCATTTAAAATCTTTAATACCTTTTTTTAAATCATATCTTTTCTCTGTTTAGTTACACAAGTATTTACCATTGTGTTACAATTACCTACAGTACTCAGTATAGTAGCACATTGTGCAGGTTTGTAGCCGGGGAGCTACAGACTATATCATATAGCCTAGGTGTGTAGTAGGCTATATTTACCACCTCGGCTGTGTACGCCCACTCTATGATGTTTGCACAACATCAGAATTGCCTGACACATTTCTCAGAACATATTCCCTTCATATTCCCAATATATTGGGGAAATATATTCTTTTATATATCTAGAAAGTTTCTAAGAACTCAAAACAATGCTTATTTCTAGGGGTAGGAGTGGGATTTTATTTTCAATCAATCCCTCCCTTTCTTTATTTTTTGAGATGGAGTCTCACTCTATTGCCCAGGCAGGAGAGCGGTAGCACAATCTCAGCTCACTGCAACCTGCACCTCCTGGGTTCAAGCAATTCTCCTGCTTAAGCCTCCTGAGTAGCTGGGTCTACATACAGGTGCACACCACCACACCTGGTTAGTTTTTCTTGGATTTTTAGTAGAGATGGTGTTTCACCATATTGGCCAGGCTGGTCTTGAACTCCTGACCTCATGATCCACCTGCCTTGGCCTCCCAAAGTACATGAGATCCCATGCCCAGCCAATCCCTCCCTTTCTATATTGGCTTTTTTTTCTTTTGCCAGGAGCAAAAAAGAATAAACCCCAAAAAACAAAAACTCCTTTTTTTTTTGCATGCACTAATACATGGAAAGGGATCTCTCTCATCCCTTTTTTTCTGTAGACAGTAATAGTTGTAGCAGGAAGCTGTAGAATTTAATACTATAATAACTTTGTACAGCATATTCCAGGTTTTAAAATATTTTCACATTTTCTTACAACTGTTGTAAATTATAACTAAAGTGACTATCATGTTTTCAAACAATATGTATAGAGTATCTACATTATGCTGGCTTATTCAGATAACAAGATCACAGGACTGACTCAACCTCTGTCTCATGGAGTTTATAACTGAGTTAGGAGTCAGTCAGTTAGCTACACTATTAAGCACCTACTGTGTTATAGGCACTGTTGCAGGTGCTGGGAAAACAGTTGTGAATAAGAGAGTGAGTGTCTCTCCCTAAAGCAAGTGGCTTGCCTAGAAAAAAGGCTTAACACATGTTTATTATATATTATTAAATTCGTTGGAGAAGTCCTCTCTAAAAAGGTAAAATTTGAATTGGAACCTGAAGATGAAAAGGAGTTAGCCATTCAAAGATCTGGGAAGACAGTTTCAAGCTGAAGGAACCTCAAATGTAAAGTCCCTGAGGCTAGAACCAGTTTAGTCTGTTTGAGGGCTGAAAGGGAAATGGATGACAGTGAATGAGAGGATGAGAGAAGGAAAGAGATGAGGTCAGAGAAATTGACAGGAGTCAGATCATGTGGGCTCTCCAAGGCCACATAAAGAGTTTGACTTTTGTTCTAAAACGTAATTAGATATTAAGCATAGATACGACATGCTCTGATTTACGGGTTTAAAAGGCCCCTCTGGCTGCTGGGGAGGCTGTTGGGGGTAAAGAGTGGAACTGGAGAGACCAGGTGGGAGGCAGGTGAAGGATAATGATGGATTAGCTTAGGGCTGTAGAAGCACAAACAGTGAAAATAGGTTGAGTTGGGGATATACTTGGAAGAATAAGGTTGACAGGAGTTGATAATAAATTGCATGTGGTGGCTGGGATTGGGGGAAGGAGGGAAGACACTTACCAGGGATGAGGACCAGAGTTTTGGTCTGAGCACCTGGATAGTGAGGCCATGAACTAAGATCCGGGAAACTGGGAGAGGAAGCAGTTGTTCTCTTTGGCCATATTAAGTTTCAGAGGCTTGTTAGATATTCACTAAAGATATTGCTTAGGCAATTGGCTAACTCTACAGCTAAGGGAAGAGATCCAGGCGGGAGGTATTTTAAAACAAGGGCCAAGATGAAACCACCTGGTGACTAAGAGTAGCTACACAGGAAGATAGAGGGCAGAAGAATGCCTATTTAATTACTATGAAGGGAATTACCTGCTGTGAAAGGGGAAATACCACGTTAGTGGAGGGGGAGGCTGGTCAAGGAAAGTTTCATAGAAACATTAAACCCAAGCTCCCAGAAGCCACTGAAAACCAAGCAGTGACATTGTATTAGTGAGGATGCTGTCCCAGAAAAGTAATTTGTAATTGTCGTAGAGATAGTGGCCTGTCTAGAACTGTGTTTTATACTTGAACTAAATCAAATGTGCCACAGGCACAGTGTAAAACACAGGAGAAAAGCTGGGCGCGATGGCTCATATGTAATCCCAGCACTTTGGGACGCCAAGTCGGGAGGATTGCTTGAGCCCAGGAGTTCAAGGTCAGCCCTAGTAACATAGGGAGAGCATATCTGCACAAAAAATATCAGCTGGTAAGCAGTGGTATGTACCTGTAGTCCCAGCTACTCGAGGGGCTGAGGTGGAAGGATCTGTTGAGCTCAGGAGGCTGAAATTGCAGTGAGCCGTGTTTGTGCCACTGCACTGCAGCCTGGATGACAGTGACCCTTAAAAAAAAAATCTTTTAAAACAAAAAAAGAAGGGGGGAGTGGCGCACCCTGGGACACAGGCTCTGGAGTCATTCCGCCTGAGGTCACATTCTGGATTTGCCACTTATTACTGGCTTGGTGATTCCAGGTACATTACTCAACATCTCTGTACTTCAGTGTTCTATCTGTAAACGGATATTCTGCTAACAGTTAACCGCTTACAGACTGTTTATTATGATCCTGGTACTAAGATTTTACATACAATACTCAACTTACCCCTCCAATAATCAATGAGTGACACTGTTCTTCTCATTTTACTGCTGAGGATCTGGAAGCACATTCACCCATTCCACAAATATTTGCTGTGCACCTGCAGTGTGCCAGCCATGTTCATGGGTGGATAAAGTAAAATCTTTGCCTCTGTGCAGTGCAGCTTCAGTCTGGGGTTTACAGGAAAGGAAGAAAGATGAGAAACAAGAGATACATACATTACACGGTAATTAAAAGGGGATACCCGCTATGGAAGAAAACAGCACAATAACAGAGATAGGAAGTTGCGATTTTAAGGCAGCCAGCGCAGACCTCACCAAGAAGGCAACATCAATTTAAAGAGGGGAGCCGCGACCGCAAGTGCAAAGGAAGGCCCTGAGGCGGGGGCAGCCTAGACTCCACCAGTGGGGAGAGTAAGGCAACGCGGGGAAAGGTGAGGGGCTAATGCGTCCGTTCTAAGAACTCTGACTTTAACTCGGGGCTAGACGGGGAACCACTGGACAGTTCTGCCCCAAGGTGTGACCTTTGTTTTATTTTATTTTTTTTAATTACTATCATTATTTGAGACGGAGTCTCACTGTCACCCAGGTTGGAGTGCAATGGCGCGATCTCGCCTCACTTCAACCTCCGCCTCCAGGGTTCAAGCGGTTCTCCTGCCTCAGCCTCCTGAGTAGCTGGGACTACAGGCGCCCGCTAATGTTTGTATTTTTAGTAGAGACGGGGGTTTCACCACGTTGGCCAGGATGGTCTCGAACTCCCGACCTCAGGTAATCCGTCCGCGTCGGCTTCCCAAAGTGCTGGGATTACAGGCGTGAGCCACCACGCCCAGCCGACTTTCGTTCTAAATCGGCCCATCTGTTTAGGCCCAATGTCCCAAGCCTAGCGAGAGAAAACAAAATTTGAACACGGGCAGTCCGGCTCAGGAGCCTGTGGTGGCGGGATTAAAGAATGAGTCTACATCCCAGGGCTGAGTCCCGCAGCGAGCCCCCGGCGGGTGCTGGCCCCTAGCTGTGGTTACCGCCATCCTTTCACTTAAACTCCGCCCCATTACTCCCCGACTCCAGGGCTCCGCATCCACTCGGCCGATTCTCCACGTAGCGCTTCCCGGGCTACAGATTGCGTAACTTCGGCAGCCGGGCGGAGTCTGGAAAGAGGCGGAGGGGCGGCGGACTGAGAGAATGCTCCTGTAATAGCTGCGAAGAGGAAGCCCAGAGAGCCCCGGCCGCCGACTGAACGCCGCTCCTGCGCAATCCGGGTCCAGGCCGCCGACATTCCAGAGCCGCCTTCCGCCCCGCCCCCAATTCCGGGGTGGAGTCCTCTGCCGCGCCTGCGCAAAGCGTCGCCGCAACCCCCCTCACGCCTGCGCGCTTCGCCCGCCCGGCCCCATCCCCCCCAGGGTTTTTCGGGTGGGGGAGGGGGACGTCTCGGCGAGTCACGATGATGGCGGCCACCATCCTGTGGTGAGCTAGCGGATTCCTTGCTTGCCTCGCAGAGCCCCTCGCGCCTCCTGCAGACTCAGTGGCTGGCGCCCGGCGCGTGAGGAGGCACGGCGGCCCGAGCTCGCGGGGAAGGCCGCAGTCGCGGAAGCAGCGGCGCGGGCCGCAGCACGGGCTGGGGGAGAGGCCGCTCCGCTGGGCGAATGTGACAAGCCCCCACCCCCACCGTCTTCCTCCCCAGAGCGCGAGGAGCGCGGGCGACCCCGGGGCCCCGCCAGGCCACAGACCCCGCCCAGCGGTCAGCACCCGGCGCAGGCCCGGCAGCAGAGCTGCGCGGCGGCACCATGCAGGTCACCCTGAAGACCCTCCAGCAGCAGACCTTCAAGATAGACATCGACCCCGAGGAGACGGTATGCACGCGGACCGGGGGCGGGGGCAGCCGCGTGCGGGCCGGGGGGAGCGACAGGATCCGGGAGTGGAGCCGGGCGGCGCGCTTCAGCGGGGGAAGCCCCGGAGGGTGCGGTGAGGGCCCTGCGTCTCGGTCTCGGCCCGTGCCCTGCCGGCGTGCGGCAGAGCCGACCCTCCTGGCTTGGCCGGGGGCTTTGTGGCAGAATAGGGAAGTAGTGACCGGACGCCGAAGGCCTGGTTGGGCAGATGGCGTGGAGCGCACGCCCGCGGGCCCGGGCCTAGGAGCTTGTGCTAGCAGGGCCGGAGGGGGATGGGGAGGTCCAGGCAGCTTCGGCCGTGGTGCCTGGCTTTCTGGTGTGGGTGCACAGGTGGGGGAGGAAGACGTAGGCGTCGCCACTACTTGTGTGTGGACCTGGTTAGGCGCTTAGATCCCAGAGTTGGTAACCCGAGAAGATGAGCTTTAAGGAAAAAAAAAAAAAAAAAGCATCAGGTTTCGTCTATCACCGAGTGAGAGGTGTGCGGTGGTGAAAATGAATTTGTCCCTTTACCTCCAGAATTGTTAACCCTTTTATTTGTAAGTGAATTGTTCTGCTGCCTTCCTCCCGCCACCCAACCCACACCCCGTGTAGATTGCACTTTGAGGCTTCTTTGGTGGTGAAGGTTTTAGCAGTAGAGGCCTTCAAATCCATTCCAAGCTCAAACTGAACTTCAGATGTAACGGGTTCTCTGCTTTATCTTGGAATTGTTAGGAGTTGTAACCCTTCACCCACACTCCCCAGGCCCCCAAACAGTAGATGTTCAAGGGGGAAAAAAGAAAAAAAAAAAAAACAACTTTGAATCCCTCCTGCAGTTAGTCTTAAACATTTCGGAAGTCCACGTTATACATTTTTCTGTGTTTGTGACTGCATAAAGAGACACTGTTGAGGTCGACACAGCTTTGTGCCAAGAATCTAATAATGCCGTGAGTGTAAATTTACTGCTTATGTTCTGGAATACACCGCTAAGATTGTCATAAGACTAAGTGTAAACCAGCAGTTTCCTGCCCAACTCTATTTTTTAAAGTAGTTTTTTCTATTTTGGGTGGAGATCAGGGGCTTTGGTGTTAATTAAGTAGAACCTGAGTTCCATTTGTGGTTTTGTAACTTACTTGCCATGACCTTGGGCAAATTACGCTTAGTTTCATCCTCTGTACCGTAGGGATAATAGCTGCCTTGCGGAGATGTGAGGATTAAATGGTACATATTTACTTGATGGTCAGTAAATGGAATTGATTAAACAGTGGATTCTTTTGAATGGAGGACACAACAGCGTTACGTTGTACTTATTTAATCTTAAGTTTTGCACATCTTTAATTGTTTAAGAAACAAGGAGAGTTCCCCCAACTTTTTTTGCGATTTTTGTACAAAATTATTCGATTTCAAAATATTTATATGTAGATGTATGCTGTGTGATTAACTTCTTAAAGGTACAGGACATATCAGTTACACATGAAAAGCTTTTCTGTGTCCTCAGAAGTAATTGACAACACCCTGTGGACTGACAGTACTAACAGAATCAAATTCCTCTTGAATATTTCTTTACTGCTTAATATGCGTTAATAAGTTGAAGGGTGAAAGTTACAATGGGGTTTGTTTGATGATTTCAGGCAAACTACGTAAAATGCCTATTTGCTTTTGGTTCTTTGTGGTAACAAATGATGGTGCCCCAATAACTTAATCAGCTTATAATACTCAGTTTAATTTCAGAATTATTCAAACCTAAAGAAATATTGTGGCTTTTTGGTAAATATTTGTGGGTGTATTGAAGTTATGCAGTGACTCTTTTAACAGCTCCACTAAAGTATTTATGTTCTTTAAGATTTGTTTAGCGTTTTTTAGGCACTTTTCACATACAGTGTTAACTGAGAGCCAATGCAGTATCTGAATTTGTACAGATTCTTATATTTATTTATTTTTCCATTCCCCACCCAACTTGTACAAATTCTTAACTATTTTTGCTATTTTCCAGTTTATTTCCAAGGAAAAGCAGTATGTTATACTTTTAGAAATAATATTTTTGAAAAGCTCATTTGTAGGGAGTGGCTTCTACAGCTTTTGCTATTTATATAAATATACTTTTGTTGCTATTAGTATAAAAAAACTAATATTGTTAGTCTGAGGCAAGAAATTAAAGCATTTCCTCTGATATATGGAATGTTTGCATTTAATGACTTGTCAGTTTTTATTTTAATGACTTTAGGAAATTTTTTCAAGACAACTGTTTCAATTCTATGTAGTGGGTTTTAATTAATATTTGTTTTTGATACGACACCCCAGACTTGCAGTAAGAAAAGAAATAGTGAAAATTTTATTTAATGGGGCAACACTAAGTGTCCTATTTCTAAGTTGTTGTGTGAACTGGGTAACCAGGGATATTAGAAGTAGATCTAAAAGACAAGATAGGATCTTACTGAGACCCGTTTTTGTTCTGCTCAGAAGTTTGTCCTTGTTTAATTTTTACCTAGGAGGAACCAAGGAAATTTAGTAACTTACGCAGTCAGTTATAGAAACTCTTGTGAACTTGAGTTGAGGGTGAGCAAAAATGGAAGAAAGGACTGTGCGATAAGGGGAATCATGGGACTGATTCATTTGTTGAACAAGTAAATGTTTAGTGAGCTTTGCTGGCAGGACTGGAAGAGTACAGGGACCTGTAGAACGTGGTCTGGAGCATCTGGGAACTTTATTGACTTAGGCAAAGTGTGTGGCTATAGAGTAGGGGATATACAAAGTGGAAAAAACAATATAATTTGTTTTAAGGTGTTTTTATTTGCTCTAGTTTTAACTAACAAAACTTTCTTAGACTTATTAGGCATTTTGTACAATTTACTTGACTATTACCTTGATACATTACATGACCACTGTCTTTAGTGTTAACCTTTACAAAGATCTTTTTGTTTTTACAATTGTAATGCTGACCTTCTTATAAAATATTCAAACAATGCAGAAACAAAATGAGAAGGTGGTATGTATGGAGTAGGAAGACCATTGCTAGATATTTTTTCATTATGTGGTGGTCTGTCTTCTGTAAAAATTGTGGGAGACATTTAAGTAGCCTACGTATTAAAACATTGTGAGATGTGTAATAGACCACTCCTCTGAAATTCTTTAAAATTCTGAAGTTTAGTGGTGTGATGGACATTTAGAGGGACATGGAATACAGTTTTTAAGCTCAGTTTCATAGTCACTTAGTTTTTTATATTGCTGTTGGTTAAAGCCACTAAGAAAGGTAGATTAAGAATAAACCTTTTGAGTTAAAAAAAAATACAGTGCAGCATTTTATTGGATCAATGAAATACCGACTAGAAAGAGCATGTGGTGTACAAATTAATCCTGGAGTCTAACTCTGGACACTTTGCTTTGAATAACTAAAAACTCAGTAAATTTGAGATGAGACTTTAAATGCAAAAGCTGAAATGGGGTTGGATTACTATACAAGTGATACTAAAACTGTGCATATACATTGGATTTTTTTGCTAAGAATTATAAAGATACTGTCTTAATATCTATAAATAGCATATTAGTGTGCTATGAAGAATTACCTCATTTTGTGGTTTATCTCTATAATGTGATTGTTATAAAATATTTCTTTACCCTGCACTTTGGGAGGCCGAGGCAGGTGGATCACCTGAGGTCAGGAGTTCAAGACCAGCCTGACCAACGTGGTGAAACCCCATCTCACTACTAAAAATACAAAATTAGTTGCGCATGGTAGTGCATGCCTGTAATCCCAGCCACTTAGGAGGCTGAGGCGGGCAGGAGAATCGCTTCAACTCTGAAGGAGGAAGTTGCAGTGAGCTGAGATGCACCATTGCACTCCAGCCTGAGCAACAAGGGCACAACTCCGCCTAAAAAAAAAAGTGTGTGTGTGTGTGTATATAGCTTTAGTACTTGTTCTGTATTATACAGTATTTACTAGCTGTGATTTATTAGTGATTTATATACTAGCTATCATTTATTATTCCTGTGGTGGTTTATTATATTTTTAATATAATAATGCTAGTTTCATATATAGAAGTTTCCTAGATTATTAAGGCAATAAGTACTAAATATTAAAAGAGGCGAAATTAAAAGCTCTCGGCATATTGGTAGAACAAGACACAGGAAGAAACTGAGAAATCTGGTACACTTTTTGCCAGAGTTTTGCTGTTTTGATGCCTTGTACACAGTAAACATTTAGTAAAGATCTTTGAATGAATTGAATATATTCTTTCGGTGAACTGGCAAGTGTGATCCCCCAATGTAGAGTGTTTACATGTTGATTTGTTTATTTAATAAATATTTGCTGTGTACTTACTGGTCAGGCCCTGCCGTGATGGTGTATGCGTTCTAGTGGGATAAAACCATCAAAAAACAAATTTTAAAAACCAGGTAATGTTAAGTCCTATGTAGAAAGTTGAAATAGGATAAAGTATGTGATAATACTTCACTGAATGGCTACTTTTTTTTTTTTTTTGAGACGTAGTTTCGCTCTTGTTACCCAGGCTGGAGTGCAATGGCGATCTCGGCTCACCGCGACCTCTGCCTCCTGGGATCAGGCAATTCTCCTGCCTCAGCCTCCTGAGTAGCTGGGATTGCAGGCACGTGCCACCATGCCCAGCTGGTTTTTGTGTTTTTAGTAGAGACCGGGTTTCACCATGTTGACCAGGATGGTCTTGATCTCTTGACCTTGTGATCCACCCGCCTCGGCCTCCCAAAGTGCTGGGATTACAGGCGTGAGCCACGGCACCCGGCCATGGCTACTTTTAAATTAACTAGTCACTGAAGCTCTTTCTGAATAAGGTGACATTTTAAGCTGAGAACTGAATAAAAATGAGCACACAGGATGAGGTTTCTGTAGGGAACTGCTGGGGCAAAGACCTTTAAGAATGTGTTTTGGGAATTAAAAAAAAGCCCGCATTGCTAAGGTGATGGGTAAGAGATAAAAGTGAGTTAGGCAAGTGGCCAGAGCATTACTTGTAGGCTAG